AAGTGCATAGTGTGAGTGTATGTTTGCACTCACCTGCTGAGTGATGTCCGCCGCCTCTTTCGCGCTCCGCACTCGCGCTTGCACTCGACATCATCAGCTTGATCTCGATGATCGACAATCCGGACTGTTGGCTCGCAATTTCCCCTTGTCCCCTCGATATCGAAGCATCCAAAGACCCTCGAGAGCGTCCGCCTTGCTCCTCACGACTCTCGCGTGCTTCCGAGACTACTGCATTCTTTTCAGCTGCATCTTTCCCCCCTCGACACTTCTCCCGTTCAGCCCCGAAATGGCCTGCTCCGCTTCCAACGTGCAAGGGCGCATAGTCTGGGAGCCTGAGCGTGTCGAAGCGACGCGCATGGACGGATTTCGTCGACACGTTGCCCAAAAGCGCAACTTGCGGCTGGACGACTACGACGCCTTGTGGCACTGGAGCGTCACGCATCCTTGCGAGTTCTGGGCAGACGTGTGGGATGAGGTGGACATCATATCGAGCGGGCACGATGATGGGAAAGGAGCCAGGTGGGAGAGCGTACTTAGAGATGCCAAGGCGCCCATCTACCCTCCTCCCAGATGGTTCGAAGGCGCTCGCCTAAACTTTGCAGAGAATCTCCTGCGTCATCGAGGAGACTCCATAGCGCTTATTGAAGTGTGCGAGCCGAGCGCTGGCGGAGAAGGATCGAGAAAGGACGTCTTGTTGACGCACGACCAAGTGTTTCAGCAAGTGGCGGATTGCGCGCGGTCTTTGCGCAAATCGGGAGTGCAAAAGGGAGATTTCGTTGCTGCTTATGCGCCAAACTGCATCGCTACCATTGTGGCCTTCTTGGCTTGCAGTAGCATCGGAGCGGTTTGGATTTCTTGCGCTGCGGATTTTGGACCGGAAGGTGTGCTGGAGAGGCTGAATGCCGTGAGGCCCAAAGTGCTGTTCACGTGCGATGGGGTCAGGTACAACGGAAGGATACATGCGCACGCAGAAAAGGTCAAGCAGGTCCTCACGGGATTGCAGCAGAGCGGCTTAAAATTGGATCTGCTTGTGGAGGTGGACTATGTCGGAGGATTGCAGCCGCTTCCAGATGCGACGCAGTGGAAGGAATTCTTGAGGAATGGCGTGGGAGGAGCGCATATCGCTTTCGAGCAGCAGGACTTCAATGATCCCTGCTGGGTGCTCTTCTCTAGCGGTACAACAGGTCAGCATACACGCTGCTATCACGATACGTTCTGATCCGGCAGCTCAACAGCCACATTCTGATACCACCTCCCCCCCGCCCCTTTTCCTTCCCGCCCCTTTTCCTTCCCGC